TCGTTCCTGTCCGACTTTATTGCTTTACTTACTGGTTTTTTTAAAGGTATCGACATGTGATCTAAAAATCGTATTAATGCCGAAATCCGTTTCTGAACCCACAAAACTGGTAAAACATTGAACCAAATTAAAGAGAACACAAAACAAAATGGCGTTCTCTTTGTAAACTTTTTACTCAAAAAATTTGTCCGAATGTTTTAGAACTTTTTACTCGAAAAATGATAAACAGGAATGCCAACTCCTGATTGGCTGTAATGTTGATTTTGAAGTATTGCCATCTGATTTTGGCACATTTACTAGATTTGCATTCTCGAACTTTTCAAATTATTTTGTACTCTGAGAGAGATTTTGAAATGTTTCCTTTTAACTAGATTTACTGTTAAAAAAAGTACTGGAACATTGGTAAGAGATATATATCTGTTGGTAACACCAAATTTTATTCGAATTTAAAATGTTAATTGTAAAACCACCAGTAGCAGAACTATTAATCCCAGTGAAAAATACATTTTACATCTGTCGTTGATTTCGAACATTAAATCTCTCAAGGCAACTGCTTCGGGTTCTGAAAATGCCTCGGGTCCATGATAATCCGTTTCACACGGATCAAATGAGCTGCCAGTATGTGCCCAATAAAAATCAAAATTACGATTTAGATCAACACCCAGACATCGAGAGTAGCCCTCTGGATCTGGTTGTCTTGTTTTACGCCAAAACCTGTCATACTGATGCGAATATTCATAACCATCAGGATTTACCACCGGCCATATTAGCCAATCATACATTTCCAATTCGCGTTGATAAAATGTTGAATTTTCCACCAATTGTTGTATGGCATATAATGCTGTGGCATGGGATATCCATTCTCGGGCATGTATGCCGGCATCTATAAATATTAGTGGTTTCTTTGACCTCATCGTTGTTGCTTCAACTTTTTGCCTTATGTGAATGGCTTTTAAGCTACGACCCTCGTATGATTTACCTAGTTCCACAATATTCACTTGCCGGGGGAACTCCGCTGCCAACTTATCTAGGTAATTATTGATAACGTCAAAACGCTGATAGCTATGAAAATCGATAGCGTCATTTTTGTTAGGGGCGGAACGACTGGAACGCTGAAACACTTTCTCCGCCTGCATACTTGTAGCCACATTGTTATTAATAATCTTAAATGTCAGTTTGTTTTTCTTCAGATAACTCTTTATTGTCGGCATTTTAAATGGTTCTACTAGCACGCGCATGCTGTAAGCTTCTTCACCACGGCCAATGACATCTGGATGGAAATTTTCTCGGAATACTTTGTAATTTTTTGGATTTTCCAACTGAATATCGAGGATTTTGTAACTAAAATGAAAAAAAAAGTTTTAGAATTTAGCAGTTGAAATTTAGTTTGAGCTTACCCCTCATAGTTCCGATGATATGTTGTAATATTCAGACCTTCTATAAATTCGAAATGCAATATTATTCCAAATAATAACAGAAATGAAAGCGGTAAAACTCGCATTTTGCTTGCTACTCTCCGAAGATATCCACACAAATGAAAACTACTTGCAGAACATTCGATTGTAGATAATAAGTTCATGGTTATCAATTTAGTGTTTTATTGGGTGCTATTATTATATGCCGGCAAATATTCTATAGAGGAAAACGTATCAGTGGGTGTATACATTACATCATTGTTCGGAAGAGAAAATCGATGGTGAAGATTGGCAAAAAAATGATTATAATCTTCATCTATGTATTTATTTATTTCATTTTCTTTTGAATATAAAATTTAATTATACTCGACACGAATGGTTCGAATGTCCGTACGTCTACCTATTATAATTTGAAAAACAACAAATGTTGCACGTAGGTTCGGTTCTGGTCAATGGCGACACTTATAGTTGTTATGTCGTAAGGTTATTATAGATTCGTGTGGCCCCATCCCTATTGGGATGAAATGAACCAAAACTTTACTTTGTCTATTTTTCTGGTCGCTGTAGAGGCATCAATTCGGACCGAACATCACGGAATTTTACACAGAGAAGGGTGTATGACCATGGGATATGCATGACAGTTTTGATGTGTGAAATATGACAACCTTTCTATTTTATGACGTATGTATTTACTCCTGAAGAACATAGACGCGAGCAGTTTATAATATATCACAGAGGAGTGGTTGACCTTTAAAATTCTGCTAATTATGTTATTGTATACTAACATAATTGCCTACGTAGGTGTCTACGTATTTTGATTAGATTAGTATTACCATTAATGAAAACGTTTTACATGAAGTTCCGGTTATGATGAAGGACGACACCTAAAAATTATGGATTGGTGATCAATATCATCATATTTAGGAGATTGAAAGGGCCAAAAACCACTATTGTAAGCCGAAAATCACAAAATTTGCACGGGGAAATGATTTGGCCAACTATTTATTTAGGTCAAGTGTGTAAAATACCCAATCAAATGGTATTACCCGCCAATATTTACCAGATCAAATGAACCTAGTAGTTGAGTATGGTATCAAATGATCAGGTTAGTTCGATTATATCCCTTAACACCCAGTTAAAATACCTGAATCTAGAATTTTGGATATTAGGTCAGTGTTGGCGTATGATTAGGCTAGGTTATTGGCAATTCGTACAAAAATGTACTAAACGTGCTCACCGAAGTATAGACAATATTTCAACCTTAAGTTGAGCGAAGCGCACGAAACACATTCCTCACAGAACGTGAATTTTCCCCAAAAAATTTGAACGATATATAAACGTTGTTGTGGCTTAAGCCTTTTCATAATTAAATACCAAAAAATGCTAAACAAAAACCAGCAAGGAAAGTAGTAAAGTCGTACGGGCTCGACTATATGATACCCTTCACCACTTTGGGTCGAAATGAAGTTGGATACATAAACATGTCATTCTGCAACCGATACTAAATTTTTCATTTGGTCAGATATGTAAGCTACATCTAAATCTGAACCGATTTCAGGAAACTTAACACACATCATTCTAGACCTAATTCAGTGCGTTGTGCCAAATTTCGTGCAAATCTAATGTTATATAAGGACTTTGGTATACCATTTACATTAAATCGAATGAAAATATATATGGGAGCTATATCTAAATCTGGGCCGATTTTCCAGAAACTTAACACACATCATTCTAGACCTCATTCCGTGCGTTATGCCAAATTTCGTGCAAATCGAAAGATATGTAGGGACTTTGGTACACCATTTACATTAAATGGGACGAAGATATATATGGGGGCTGTATCTGAAACTGAACCGATTTTCAGCAAACTTAACACACATCATTCTAGACCTAATTCATTACGCTATGCCAAATGCAAGGACATATAGGGACTTTTGTACACCATTTACATTAAATCGGATGAAAATATATATGGGAGCTATATCTAAATCTGGACCGATTTTTCCCGATTTCAATAGGGTTCGTCCGTGGGCCAAATAAGAGACCTATGCCAAATTTCCGGATCATAAATGCGACCTGTACTTTGTTTACAATTTAACATGGACAGACAGACGGACGGACATACATAAATCGACTTAAAAAGTGATTCTATGCATATTCTCAAAAGGAACAATGTGTCTATCTCGACAAGGAGCTTTCCGAAAAATGAGGAGAACCAAGGGTACATAAAAAAATATTTGAACAAATTCTTCAAATATGTTTTTCACTCTTCAAGAACCCAAAATGCCTTCAAAATACAAATATGGCGTGTTATCCATATAAGGGGATAATTTCAAATCTATAAAATCTAGCTATATCTAAATCTGAACTGATTTTTCCCAATTACATAGGGTTCGTCCTTGGGCCAAATAAGTGACCTATGCCAAATTTCATCCAATTCGGATCATAAATGCGACCTGTACTTTGTTTACAATTTAACATGGACAGACAGACGGAATCTATATCGGGTTTTCACCCTTCTAGAACCCGGTATGTCAAAGTACTACAATTTCGTTGGAAAATGCGACTAAAATCTTCGAACTAACAAATATATTTGGAGGGTATCATGTCAAAGCGGAGACCCATATAGCACATTTCCTGAAATATAATTTTCAACCTCAAAATATTCGAAAAGACAAATTACATTTAAAATGCAAAAAAAATGGAGCATGATCTTTATATGGGTGTCATGTCGAAACAAGGACCTATACCGAACACTTTCCGTAAGGATGTTGTTCACGCGCATTTTCTTACCAAATGTTATTAAAATCGGTTCAATTTCCCGGGTAGAACCCTCATAAAGGTACCAAGAAAATTTCAGGATTTTTTTTTTGGATTCCCGTCATTTTATGCTGTAATTAAGTGTTTTGATTTATCGTTTAATACCAAATGACCCTACCAAAAATATTTAATATTTTTTATCTTCTTCTTCGGATAGCCTCATATAACAGTATAATCACGACCGTTCTTCCACTACATGGGAAAGTTTACCCACACTTTCCAAAACACTTCTAAGTTGTATTATTCCTGGTTGAGCGGTTTTTCACACCTTATTATTTCAACTTCTGTGTTCCGATAGTAGGTCATTTCTGATGACTTTAAAATATTGAATAGGAAAACATCCCAAAATGAAAAATGATTGCCCATTTTCCAGTTTAAAGATGCATGTTATGGAGTAGAACAGGTTAGACAAAAGCTGCTGTTATGCATAATTATTCCAGAATAAATCGAAGACAACCAAATGTCTACGTTCACCAACCCGACTGGTGTAGGGTGCTATGAAAAACAAAAACCAATTCAATGCATTTCAATTAAACGCCAAGAACGCTGAAACAGAAAGTATTTTAAACTCGTCGCAACAAGATGTATTTCGGCACCGGTTTCGTTTTATTAACTGCATGCCTAACGTGTTTCGTTTTTCTGTTCCGGAGGAAAGTCCAATATTGGCCGAAACGTAAAATTCTAACACCAACACATCGACATTGGTTATGGGGAAATATGACAGATTACGGTCGGCACAACTCATTTAATGATATATTCCACAAATACTACAATGAAATTCGTGCGTCTTCGCCACCTTTGCTCGGTTTATACGTATTTGTAACCCCAGTGGCTCTAATAACAGACTTGCAATTGGCCAAACGTATTCTAACAAAAGATTTCGGTTATTTTCATAATCGTGGTTTATACCATAACCCAGACGATTTGACGGGCAATCTCTTCACCTTGGACTATGATCGATGGAAAGTGTTTCGAACAAAACTCTCACCAAGTTTTACAAGTGGCAAATTGAAATCAATGTTGCCGACATTTGTTGGTGTCTCTAAAGAATTAATAAAAGTTATGAAGCTTGATATTGCGGAGGGTAATAATATTTTCGACATAAAAGATTTAATGTTACGTTTTACATTGGAAATAATTGGATCCTGTGGTTTTGGCTGTAAGACACATAGTTTACAAAATCCCAAAGATCAATTCCATCAACTCATACAGAACTCGTTTATTGGAGAACACAATGGAAATGTGACAAAACTTCTAATGATCGCCTTTCCCCGCTTGGCCCATCTGATACAACTTCAATATTTACCAGCTAATATGATACGATTTTATACAAAATTCGTAAAAGATATCTTGGATACTAGGAAAAAATCAGAAGTGCGTTATAACTACATTATTGATACCTTAAATGAAATACACATCGGAACGAGTGACCGGAAATTGACATTAACTGAAATTACGGCACAAACCTTGATATTCTTTCAAGCGGGCTATGAAACTACAGCATTCACGCTAACCTATGCCCTATACGAATTGGCAAGAAATTGTGAAATCCAGGAAAGAGCTCGCGAGGAAAGTTTTAGAGTTTTAAAGAGCCACAATGATGGCGTAACATATGAGTGCTTGAGTGAAATGAAATATCTGCAACAGGTTCTGAAAGGTATGTGGAAAAACTTGTATATACATGACACCGTAAGTTAACCTTTTATAATAGTTAAACTCTTAACCGAACTCTATTGGATATAAGTCGTACAATAGCTATTTATACCCTTCACCACACTGTGGTACAGGGTATTATGTCTTTGTGCATATGTTTGTAACAGGCAAAAATAATCGAGATAGACCCATGGTTCCTTTTGAGAATATGCATAGAATCACTTTCTGAGTCGATTTATGCATGTCCGTCTGTCCGTCCGTCCGTCTGTCCATGTATTTTTGTTAACAAAGTACAGGTCGCATTTATGATCCGATTTGGATGAAATTTGGCACAGGTCACTTAATTGGCCCAAGGATTGGAGAAAATCGGTCCACGTTTAGGCATAGCTCCCATATAAGGGTACCCCCAATTTTTCGGTATTTTGAGGTTCTTGAGCGCGTTTTTTAACTGAATTCGCTGAAATTTGGTAATTTGAGTTCTTATTGGGTAGCAAATCTCCCTACCAAAAATTATAAATAAAGGTCCATTTTTTCGGATAGCCCCCATATAAGATTACCCCCAATTTTCGGTATTTTGGGGGTTTTGATCGCATTTTTCCACCGAATTTGCTGA